CAATTCATGGTTGTTTGCTCAAAACCAACTTCCCCAATTTTCGCGGAGGCATCAATACGACAGTCATCGTCTCATCGGTCGCTGTTCAGAAAGAAGATTAAAACACCGTCAGAAGTAATATCGTGATTTATTATTGTAATATTTGTTCACAGACCTTAGTCATACTTGATTTATATGTTGGTGTAACAATAAAGAATCCTCGAGTCAACAACTGGTGTTTTGGTTTTTTCGTCCGTTATTACTAAGCGTTTCTGAGAAACTTCAAGCGACAGCGTGAGCCTGAGCGTAGCAAGAGCTGGGCATTAACGGTTTACCAGACGTGGCTGACACCTCTCTTCACGCTGTTATGATTTAAAGCCTTTTTGACGCTACATCCCTTTCGTCTTGTTTCTTAGCAAGTGGACTCTCTTTCAAATCTCTTCCTCCCTCTCATTCACTTACGGCTTTCTTTTCTGCTTCCGTCCCAAATTGATTACGTGGAGTCTTTTACAATAGTACTTTGTCGCTTGTTTCACTTTTGTTTGTCTTGTTTATCTTGGTTTAAACATTTGTCAAGCCATGGTTGAGGGCCTATGAACGGTCAGTGGCACAACTAACAGTCCACCGTTGGTTATCCTCCACACTCGAGCCTGCGATACCGCATTCTCCAATCATGTCAGCTATAGATATGATAGAGAAGATTTGTAGCTCAGGTGGATGATTTTGATGTGGTTTTGTTCTCTGAGCTGGATGGTTAGTTTGCGAAGCTTTCATCACCTTACTGGGTGACATCTTCAGCGCATACTTCAATTTGAAGTGAGCTTTTAGATTTCTCCACGAGTTTATTAATCATCTCTCCTGGTGACCTTGGACGTGATTGGTTGTTTGTGTGTGTTTTCACACCTTCTAGGTTACTTGTATTGGAACCGGTTGTTTCTTTGACTTGAACTTTGACCCTTTGTGTGTGAAGTTTCTTTCTTATTGGTTGATAAATTTTGTCTATCTCGATGTGTCTATTGATTGATGATTCACTGGAATGCCAAGCTTCTAAAAATTCTCTAGCATTCTTGTTATTTCCTTTGTCTAATATTTGAACGTTGTCCCAGTCGAATTGATGTCCGTAGTTGTCTGTGTGTAGTGAAATGAGGGAGTGGATATCATGTCTTTTGACGGCTAGCTTATGTTCGTGGATACGAAGACGAAGGGGTCGTCCACTTTGGCCGATGTAGTGTTTTTCGCAGTTGTTACAGTTTATTTTGTAGATGATATTAGTTTTGTCTTCTTTCGCTGTTGAGTCTTTCGGTTGACATAGAATTGAGTGCAGCGACTTTGTTGGTTTGTGTACGACGTCAATTCCTAAAGGTTTGAAGAGTCTTTTAGTGATTTCTGAGATATCTTTTATATATGGTAAGGCAATTTTCTTTGTGCTTTCCTTGGTGGCAAAAGCCAAGGCTTTTTATCAACCAATAAGAAAGAAACTTCACACACAAAGGGTCAAAGTTCAAGTCAAAGAAACAACCGGTTCCAATACAAGTAACCTAGAAGGTGTGAAAACACACACAAACAACCAATCACGTCCAAGGTCACCAGGAGAGATGATTAATAAACTCGTGGAGAAATCTAAAAGCTCACTTCAAATTGAAGTATGCGCTGAAGATGTCACCCAGTAAGGTGATGAAAGCTTCGCAAACTAACCATCCAGCTCAGAGAACAAAACCACATCAAAATCATGTCAGCTATTTCAAGCCTACCCTCATCACAATCCATGGCCTCTGCCATGGTTCAAGCTGACCCTCAAACAATAGCCTCCTGTTTTCCTTTCCTTATCTCCAACTGCCAGCAGCTCATCTTTCGCCCATCGCATCCAATCCATAATCACCTTACTCCACGCGGTCCAATCAATCCCTATCCTAAATCGTGTCTCCGAGATACCTGTGCATATACTAGCCTTCGAATTTCTCTTCCCTGAGAGGTTTATCTCAACATCTGCACCAAATCCACCCCGCCGAATACAATGAGGTCCTTCTCGGTCGCCTCCGCAACGACCGTCGAACACGAAGAAATTGGTCCCAGAATGAAGAACCCACCCTACTGATGTTAGCAGACGCAGCAGTCAATCGATTCAACAGCAAAGTCGAACTGTATCAACGCCTACACGACCATCTGCCACATCTCCCAGTTGAAGCCATCAAACGCCGTCTGCAAACACTCAAATGGATGACATTTGTCCCGTCGCCATCGCGCTCTGCATTAACCATTGGTTCAGCGATAAGTCTCTGGTCTCCCATCAAACTTAAGCAACAAGAACAGGCGTCGCATTTTATATGCTCACACGCAAACGCTCTTCCACCGTTCACCAAAAGATGCTGCGAACACGGTACTTGATGGCAGATGGAGAGACCCTGTCAATGTAGTTTGAGATTGAACGATTAATTCATGGTTGTTTGCTCAAAACCAACTTCCCCATACTTTCTGCGGGCGTCATCAATTCGTCAGTCATCGTCTCATCGTTCGCTTTTCATAGGAAGATCAAAAACTATCAGAAAACTTGTGTAATAACATTACTGTTGGTTACATTTTGGCGTAAGAGTAAAGAATTCTTGAGTTGCCAATCAGTGTTCTGGTTTTCGCGTTGGTTAATACAAAGCGTTTCTGAAAGTCTTCTAGGGACAGTGTGAGGTCCAGCGTAGCAAGAGCTGGACATTGAAAATTTATGAGACTTGGCTGACAGACCCGTTTACATGTCAGCCTTCCTATATAGGGGGCTTCAATGAATTTTGTATAGAAACCTTCACGCGCGTTAGCCCTACCAGACACTAGACCGGTCCAGGAATACCTTCCAACTAATAACGACCTGATCACCCCTGTTTTAACTGAAGAGACCAAATGGGCACTAAAAGAAATGGTCAAACCCGCGGCCGGTGTTGACCACATAACTGCTAGGGACCTCCATAAAACTAACCGAACTAATCTGGCTGGGTATCTAAACACTCTTTTGCTGACGTCTTTTCTACCTTCGCCCCTGTCAGCTTCCATTGTCACCTTCATTCCCAAGGCATCACATCCCGATAACCCTACTGACTTCCGGCCTATGTCCATAACTTCTGTCTTTACGCGCTGTCTGCACAAGATAATCACCAAGCTCTGGTTCAGATCATTCCCAATGGGAAAACCTCAGTTTGCCTTCCTGCAACGCGATGGCTTCTTCGAAGCGACCAATCCTGTCTACAATGGGACATACAGTTCAAAGAATCATGCAAATTATTGTTGTGATCTCTTATCGAGGGATGATCAGCCAACTCTCTGCAGACTCTTTTCACCTCCTTCGACATTTCACGTCTCTGCATCTCAACCATTCAAGGTTCTTTGAAAATCTAGGCTGGACTTATTCATCACTTACTGTTGAAGTTCCGCTTTGAAATTTTTTTGCCAATAATTTTTAATTTGAAAATCTATGATACTTACATGCGTGGAATGTATGGACTCAGACGTAGAAAAGAATTGAGCCGGTGATATTGTAAATTTACTGCCATATAGGAATACTTCTTTTCCTACCGTTTACTCTACTACCATTTGGCATAATTCACACGCGAGACACATTGTGACATCCACGCATATATATACTCATTTAACTGATAATACTGTTCTTAACCTCATAAATGCCTGGTAACTTTGTTTATTCCTTATATTCTAATTGTTCCATACTACATACATGCATAGAGCATATTGTCGCTATAAACTTCTCCCGAAGTTAAATACTATTGCTACATTCAACTGTCTATGCTACCCCATGATTCATACATGCAAGCAACATTCACATGCTCAAAATTAATAGAGACTTGTATTACATTTGATGATTCTATAAACATAAATTATTAAAAATCACACTTTTGTACCAGTCACGAATATCTCACATCAACATATAACATAAATAATCAATCACAAATACACATATATGTACAAACACATCTAACTGAAAGTACTGCAGAAAAAGTACACATTATTAGGTTCAACATGGGCTGCTGTGCTAATTTTTCTACACTTGTGTCTATTATTTTTGATAGCTTAATTGACTAGTTTACGTTCATATATTTATTTGTCTGTACGAAGTTTACTTATGTTATTTTGGAATCATTATTTTGTACTTATTATTCTATTGATTTTTGGTATTATTTTATTTTATTTTTAGGTGTATGAACTTAACTTGAATATTGTAAAAATCGTCCATTCGCTGCCGCGAATATACAATTTTTATTTAATATTCGAAAATAAATATGTTAAGCTACGGATCGTGCACGAACATGCCAAGGCGCGGTACCGACCGGAAGCCTTCAGCTAAACAAGTTGACTTAATCAGTGAGAGTCAATGTTCAGTGATAAGTGCTGTGATCAGTAATTTTGGGGAATTATTTACCACTGCAGACTGCTGTGCTTATTTTAACGCTGAGTGGTATTAAATATCTACTACTCACCCTGATGACCTCATATTTATGCTGTCGACTCTGTCTTTATGGAATATACGCGCCGCTTACTTGATTGGTTTTTCAGCAACCTCCTCCTTAATAGAGAATAATTCAAATTAGTACTGTCTATCATGTGCATTTTATGAGATTATTATAGTTGGTGCACCAGACTTGCATATTATTAGTCAGCCATATCACATTCAGTATATCGTTTTATTATCCACAGCTGCTAAGTTTGGACGGTATAAGAGTGCCCTCTCATTCCATCTTTCTTCATATCCTTTCTTGTACAGGCGTCGCTCTCTATCGAATTCTTAAAAATAAATAAACAGATTCCAGCATTTGTGTTTACGTCCGAGTAGCCATTTTATTTTATGTATGTAATGATTTCAGAAGTTATTAAAGTAGGTGGGAATACTGATATTTCCTACTTGTAACGTATAGAAATACGATAAATTTTCTATATTTCTCCACCATTTATAACATTCATTTCTCCGGCAAAGTGGCTCGTCTACTAAATTTTTAAGGTTCTGAATTGTGCAGAGTGAATAATGGTGTGTATCAGTGTACATGTATATTTAGATTGTTATTGTCTGTGAACTCATCCATGTTTGTGAATTAATCGTTTTCTTCGGATGTTCTCAGCCTAAGATCATCGTTCAGTCAAATTACAAGATAGCCTTCAAGAGCACTCATCCTAACAGCGGTGTATTTAATTCTTGGTGAAGTCGATATGTTATGTGTCCTCCTTCCGATTTCCCTATGGATACGTCTCTTGGTAATCTTCTGGAGTGCATAGTAATCTTCAGATATAAGTAATGGAGTACGACCCTTTGGAGACTATGAGTCCTAGTGAGCCATTCAGCGACCAGAGGGTTGCTCAAAGCATTTCAGTTGAAGGCGAATCAACATTTAGTCATCAAGTACAGCCTTCAGTTAAATGTGAAGAGAAAAGCACCGAGGGACCAAAAGTGGATTCAAGTTTTCCCACTAATTCTATGCCACCTCTCCAACAAACATGCATTCCATCAACCACTGCACAAGGACATTCTTTTGTTCGAAGGACAATACACAGACCGGCATATTGCCATCACTGTGGGGAAGTTATTTGGGGGCTTTTAAGTAGTGGATTTCAGTGTGAAAGTAAGTGAAACCTATCAGACTTCGTGTTGAATGTTGGGATAATAGTGCAGCTAGTTCACTTCCATGTATTAAGTAATAATCAGAGTACTCATTTCTGTAGGTTCGGTTTGTTGATTTACTGCACCATATGAACTAGAGTTATTCAAAACTTAATGCCTAATACATCAGGCTAACAGGTTTCAGGATTTCAGAGTAATAGCCAAGAACTAGAAGGCAGCTTAAACTTTAGACTCTGGTGTTGCTATTTATTTTCACCCGTGGCATTTTCAAAGTTGGTACCGGATTAAAGTGATGAAACAGATTTTTCCAGTTATGTGATACGCTATTTTCGGCGACATTTTTTATGACAAGACCGTATTACTTGGACAAAACTCACCTGTGGATTACAGAATCTAAGATTTTAAAAATAATTCAGTTTAAGATTGTGAGTTGACGGTTTTCATAAAAGGTGCTTCCTTTTATCATTAAGAAGGCAGCCAGCGATATTATTGTCCGGTTTTAACATTTCAGACGTCATTATCAATCTATCTTAAGTTCTGTGTCACTGTCTTTGGGTCGATTTAAGGCTAGTTGTGTTTCGCACTTACTTCCTCACTCGGAGTTGCCTGTTTTTCCTGCACTGTGTTGGTGGCCGTTAATTGGTGCTCTGTTCTTGCCGTAATTAGTTGATTAGCAAGTAAAGAGCTGACAAAAACCAGTGAACATGTTTCACACATCAGTGTAGCCGCTTTTCACTTAAGTGAGTCACAGACTAGTCTTTCCCCGCCGTATTTCACAAGCCATTGCGTTCTTGTTATCTACTTTTAAATCCCTCAATTTTCTAGGTACGTTTCTATACAGTGAGCTATTTATATTTATCGTTGTGCATAAAATGTACTGGAATAGGTACTTGTATATCCATTGTTTCTGAAACTCAGTGGCTTTCAACAGAGGTTCATTTATCGTTTGTCAGTGTGTGCAGCAAGCTGGTAAAATTAACCCATTCCGGAAAAATTCGTGAAAACAATCAGGTAACAGTTTGGCCAGTAAGCTGCGTTTATTGTGATTATATTTATCACAACTAGGTGTATTAGTCCTTGCTTACCTATTAGGATCACTCTTTCTATCCTGTTAAAATCGTCTTCTATAGGGTCATTCACTTGATGTAAATGAATAACTCGTGATATTTTTAATATGACTAACTGACTTTCAGTGTGAGATCATGCATAAAAATGCACCGCTTCAAGTTACTATACCAGATTATAGGAAATGCAATGCAACTGCTTTGATTGGAGATGTATGTGTGAGATAATAGTTAGATGATTACTGAAGATTTTCAGAATCTGAGTGGTAGCGGGGAGCAAATGTAATCGAGCTATTCTGATTGATTTTGAGCTAGTTTATAACCACTAGTTTTTAATATTCATAGGACTCCAATCAAGCAATTTACAACTTACATGGCGATCGCTTATAATGTGTAACGCATGTTATGATCATCTCAGTCGATGAGACATCACATCATTTATTGACCTCCACCCCTTACCTACTGAGTTTTTATGATTAGTCACTCCATTGAAGCTGATGCAACTCCACCAATAATTGGAGGGTTATCGACGTAAATAGTATTTTTGATTTTTTTTTTTTTTGATTTTTGATTTACAGCTTGATTCCACACTGTATTTTCGGTACAAGTATGGAATTTTCAGCATGGATATCGGTAGCCCAAATTATGCAGGCCGACCATAGATATCAGGTGTGCGTCGGTGCGGGCTCGAACCCCGGATCATGTGCATGGTCGGCAAGAGTCCTAACCACTGTGCCACCGACGCACAGTGCCACCCCACTATACCACCGGTAATGCAACAGAATCCTCGAAAAGATGTATCGATGTATGAAGGACTTTGATACTTACAGAGAAAAAATACCAGCTAGATAAGAATTCAAAATTTAAATTAGTCAGTTCACGCACACTACTGTAGTTGTTTTCAAACACTTATTTAAAAATAAGATAATATAGTTGTCGGTTATTATTATTTAATCATATTGTTTGCATGAATACTACTAACGGTTGCTGGTCACATAAATTACAAGGGATCAACAATTAAACGTGCAAACTACACTGTTACCTTTCTTAATCCATATGGGGTGTATTGCTGACTCAAAACGAGCTTCAAATTGTTACGTAATGGCTCTATTGGTTTTTCTGTGCTGCTTAACCATTTTGGTTGTTTGTTGCTATATTTGTGTATGTATCTACTTCACTTGTTTCTTGATTTTTAGTCTGCAACCTACTTGCTCACGAACGCTGTCAAACCGTAGTAAGCTCTCCATGTACATCTGTGGCGCCCCTTCATGTAAAGGTAATACATCTGAAAAAAATAATTTTAATAGCATTTAAAAACCATTTAACATTTTTTGCTATTTGATCTGTACATGAATAAGACATATTTATCCCATCAATCCTATTCTTCCTGCTTTTAATTGTTCTTTCTTCCTTTCAATTGACGGTGTGTAAATAATTTTATTTGCATTTTCATAACAATGTTGCGATAAACTAATTTAAGACAGAATTTAATCTCTTCACGGTACCCCTCATTTTTCTTTATAGCAGGTAGTTTTCAAATACTAAAGTGTCCTTTTCATCGTACATTCACAAAGAAAAGAATTGTGCTTAAAATAGTAAAGCAAACTCGTATTCAGGGATTTCGAAGGAAGTTGTTTGTGCTTTATGTATACTTGGGAAGAGCATTTTCCCACCGATTAATTGCTCCTGACATCTTATTTCATCTTGTAATGCAGTTAAAAACTATCTTACACATCAGATTATACTATGACTGCTCATTCCATACGTTTCGAGTGGAGCATAAGACTTCTGTAGTATATCTCCACTTCATTTTGTTCTCTGCTATCACGTTTACATCTGACTCCGCGACTGCCCACAAGCTTTGATTTCCTCCATATATCACCTCCTCCATTTCAATTTCAAATGCTCAAATCTTCGCTTCCTATTCGGATTTCATTCCAAAGCCTGGTGTGTGTGTATACCTGGTTGATACATATTAAAAAAGGAAAGACTAAGCAGCTGCATCGTTTATAAATCTGTTAGAGTTGGATCTACGTAGTTGTCCTTTTAACGCCTGATGTATACCTCTGTCATTTAGATTTCATGTGAAATTTTTCAATTTCTGTCCACACTAAACAGGCTTTTCAGATGTTTCTTGTTGAGTTGAGGACCTATTTTTTCTTTACAACCAGATTAGTTTCTTATTTCTATTCTGTAAGTGTTTTGTTGATTCCCTACAGAAGATCAAGCTTGGACTAACATCGTTTCGCATAATAGTCTTATTGTAGAGAGTTTTGTTTTGCATGAAGACGTTTTCATTTTATGCCTGTAGTCGATTTAACTATAGTAAACTGAGCACACTGCATTCACTTTATTAGTCATGCCATTATCTGTATTTCTTGTAACTAGTTTTTTCCTACAGCTTATTTTATGGAATCAAGCTATCCATTTATTCTGGATGAATATATTTTTTCTCTCGTTGATTTTACAGTCTCCAGTATCTCATTGTTGGTCAGATTTGGGGCACTTCAAGCGGAAGTTTTGCAATGTTTGTCGTAAACGTTTGGAAGACAGTCTTTCTGTGAGATGTGAAGGTAAGGTATTCGATTTGTTTTTTCTCGTTGTTGTTAGGTCACTTATCTACTTTTCTTATTCAAGTGAAAATTTGATTTCGTTTTCATTTATCTTTTGCATAGTCTGGAAAATGTATGCTTTCTTGTTTCATTAATACATTGCACTATATAGAAAGGACGCAGAAGCGAAAAATACCCATCCATCTTATTTCCATGTATGGATTATAGTTTTTCGTCTTAAAAAGTAGCGAAGACCTTTTCCAGTTTCCTGATATATAAATCGTTATGATATATTATTGACGAATATCCAACATCATTTCTATCTGGGTGTTGTGTTCTGAATTAACTATTTTTAGTCTACTTTTACACAGGATTAATCTATCTGTATAAGCAAGCTGTGTGATTTTAGTTCTTTTTTTGCAATTCGCCCAACTATATATGAAGTGAGTCAGATTGCATCTGTTTATTGAGAAGGCTTTAGGCCAACTTGTTGTATTCTTTTCTTTCTGGCCTGATTGAAGAATCCTTCTCTCGTGAAAGATTTACACCCCATCGACATGGTTCTAGGTCACAAATTTTGTTTTACTTTGTGTTCCGAGTGGAATATAAGGCTTCAAGCTTTGAGCTGTGAAAATTCAGCAGCAATGGTGTTATTTCTTTTTTATTGAGTGAGTGAGCCTCCCTTTTTAGTGAGCTTACTACTGACTAAGCGAGATTTAGATGCGCGTTGGCTGGGATTCTAACCCCAGGCTACATGAGTGTTTGGTGTGCATTCTGCCAATCGAACCACTGACGCGCTCAATTATTAGTGTTGGTTAACAGATGTGTCGATGTTTTTTTGTGACCTGTATGCGGCAGCACAGTTAATCATAAGTACTTCTCACTCGGTGCCCAAATATTTTAGAATTATTCTGTCAAATCTTGACGACAGTTCATTTGAATTATTTTGCAATCGAATTAAATTAACAAAGAAACTATGTAATTGGCACAATCATCGTGTTTCCACTCTCCGTTGTCTGCAACAGAATACGTATCCTAAATCCACAGCTGTCCAGTCAACTGACAACTCCAGTAGGTCGAATAAAGCAGCTCAATTTTCAGAAAGAAGACAAAGTAATAAGTTTGACAGGGAGCTTTAACTAAACTCTAATCCTAAACATCATAATCTTGAAAATACGTCTAACCATAAAATTCTAGATACTAACAGTTTGAACCTTCATGAAGGTGTGATGTTAGCTGATGCATGGGAAATCCTAATTAGTAAATAAAGATGGATATGTATCACTAATTCATTAATAATATTTGGTCGAAATTTCCGACTGTCTATATAGAGACGTTAAGATACTGTTTTACAACTGTTTACCCGCACACACACTGTGTTTAAAGTGTTTAACAAAGGTAGACCAATATTTGTAAGTTCGAGGTCAAATTCTGATCACAGCTTATACAATTTAGTTTATTATACTTGTTGATACTTGTTTTATGACTTATGATTGGACAAAGTTTTTAAAATCAAGAGATGTTCCTTTTATGAATATCAACCTCTGTTATGTTAATTTCGATTAATTTCCCTGAAGAAGTTCGGACCAGATTGCCGAACGAAACGTTGGAATTACTCATTTCAATCTCGCTGTGATTTTACAAATATAGTTTTTTACATAAGTACTTTCTTTTTATATTGTCTTTAACTTATGTAATTCAGTATGTGAATACTACTGTCATGTGGATTGTCAAGATTATTCTATCAATGATTGTAAACAAGGTGCAACATGTTCTCCTGGTAAACCTGTGGTGCGTCCTAGTAGTAAACCTGTTGGAGTATTTATAGCATGGAGTATTCTGTATTGTTTTGATGTTGTGCATTGTTGTTCTCCAAAGATCATATGTTGTGATGCTTTTCTGTGTGTATAGACTTTGTGTCGTATAATTTTTCTTGTGGAACTGTTTTTGTTCTTTGCTGTGTAGCACGTTCATTTAAGAGAAAAAAAATAACCGCATGCACCTAATACATCCGAATTTCGGACGATATTGTGCAGATTGTTGATGAAAACGTTTGGGTTGTTCTAGATGATAGAGAATATTGATAGCGCATTAGAGTGATTTTGATTGTGTTGAATTCTTTAAACAAAAAATCTAACTGCTTAGTTGTCATTACATACATTACATTACAAATGACACTGACTTCTTTCCAAAGCTGTTTAGGATACCATGAATTACCTGGTACAGTCGAGGGGATGGGCAGACTTCGGTCTTCCTCTCAAAATGCTATCATATGACCATGCATTTATAGCTTCTGCCAGATAAGTCCTATTCATCACAAAAGTGAGACGACGAATGCGAACGTCTGACGCCTACAATCTGACTAATAAACGTCCAGGCCTACCCAGGGGAGCTGCAAAACCCTGATTCCAAACCTATGGTGTAAGTGGTTTCCAGAATCCGAAAAGTTTGAATGCTATATAAACCTGTTTTGGTCACTGGAAAAACGAGAATTCAGCTCCTGACTCTCCTCTATCGCCTTGTCGGTCAGACTTAAAGTCAAAGGTTCACGTAGAGGGTGGAAACTGGACGTTTGAGCAGTATCCCAGCCGCCTCACAAACCTCAAGATTTTGTGTGACGCATCTCTTGGGGCTCATAATGTACCAGGCTTGTGTTTTATTAATAATAATATCGTTTATAGCCCTACCATTGAACCATCTGACTCACAGAAATCAAAATAACTTCTAGTTTGTTGTGTGCACGTGATTTTAAGTTCCTGATCTAAAGGTATTCTTCGATTTGAAGGGTTGAGGATTGTGCAGAATAATATAACGTTCTATTAATAAAAAGGTATTTTACTGTTTCACGGTGCTTATTCATCTCATTCTATAGTAAATCGAATTGGTAATTCAGGCAATGTCGGTGTTTATTTAAAACATGGTCTAAGATTGCTTGACTCTTAATAATTTCGAAGACATGTAGCTGTAGATTATTGACGTAGGCGCTCGACTGTCAATCATTGCCATGAGGGTTCCATCTGCACTGATTTGATAGGCAGGTAGTATTACTGTCTTGCACATCAGTACGTATAGTGCGTAGCTCCATCTTTAACTGTCTAAAATATAGGTTCATCTTCCTACACAGGCTGTCTGGGATGTTAAGAAACAATGCTTTCTGACTGTTCGTAATATGACTCAAAACTATTCTCACTGGCACATGTGCGTTCACTCTTTGTAATATCTCAGATCAATTGAATCCCCATATTTTTTCCAGGTTACTTTCTTTTGTACATTTCTGTGCATTTTGCTTCTTTCTTTCTCTCTCTCCTTTCTCTACCTTTGCGAGTTGCATGGAGTTTAGCAACTTTAACTTGTGTAGTTCTGTGTGAGTTTCTATGTTAAAACTTAGCCAGTTAGTCAGAGAGTCTTGTACATGTTTGAGGCTTCAAGAAGCTTCTCTTAGCATACCCTTCACAATTTGTCATACTCTCTTGTCTGAATGATCTTTTATGCATGCAGATTTGTTTTGTTTACTGTGCAGACTATTCTTAGATGAAAGTATTTCTTACTATTTCTCCCCTGTTGTCGTGTCCTGTGTGCCAGACTTAAAGGTTGATGCAGCTACTCATATAATACCACGTAACTGCATATAGAGTTTTCCAGAGTATCTGTTTTGCATGGGGAACAAGCATATACTTTTCCAGTTTATAAGCCCTAATTTCCCCACTAAATATTCCTTTTGTATATTTTGTTTTGTATTGAAGCAGAACGTTAAACATTTATTTCTGCAAATGATTAGAAGTGTTAATTTTATCCTAGAATATTTATTTAATGATTGACTTTATTTCCTTTCTGAAATTATTATATATTAGTGTTCACCGCGTCAATCACATCATTGGAGGGAGGGGAATTTACCAACCAACTCAAAGTGTTTTATATGCCGTAAGACATGTTGGTCTTCTGAATGTCTTACTGGTTATCGTTGTCACTGGTGTGGTCGGACTGTAAGTTTAACTGCTGACCTTTTACTGACCTTTTTATACTTCTTTTTTCTACAATTGATGTGTCAAGCATTAGGAGTCAGTAGGCAGGTTGTGTCGATCACTGGAAATAGTACTGAGCGGTGCTAATTCAAATGTCAAAAGTGTTATACGTTCCTTTGGTTATAAATACTAGTAATAAAGAAACCTAGATTGAGTAGGGTTCATTGCTAATTGACTCCAGAAATATGATATAAAAGCATATTAATTTGTTTACTGGATATATCACAAAGTGAAATAGTTTTATTTACTGGTAAGTAATTGCGGTGAATACTATTATTTCCCTATGTAGTGATATGCAATAAACAAATTAATATGGAACTGCATATTACTACAGTGTCCAACTTTTCAGCATATATTGATTCTATCAAGGGTCGGCTTTCAGGGATACGATTTGTTACAGCTTTAATAACAAGCTGATATCAGTTAGAGAACCATTGGAAACCACCATGGAGTATCGGGTACTTGTTTCGTCCTAGTTTAAGATCCCTCAACCGTGCGCATCCACCAGAGTCTAAACTCAAGACCTTACGGTTACAAGGTGAACTCGTAGACCATTCAGGCAGTGGGAAGTGATCCGATGGCCTATGAATTTCAGCTTCTGCCGATTTGTGGTTCATATAGCGCAAGCACCCATTTGTAAGGCATGCAATTGGAGTTCACCTTTCCTTGTAACTTCTCTCGGTACTACTGCTCCTAAATTGTTCTTTACTAGGAGTTTATTTCTTTTCTCTGTTAATAAAAGGTTAGTAGTTTCAAGGCTTTTTTTCTTTTGAGGAAGTTTGGAACCCTTCTCAGTCTATACTTCTTCGAATCAGTGAAAGTTGTGTTTGGCGATTGCTTTTTGAAAGCGTCATTTAGTTTTTATTATACTAACTGAGGGGTATATAGAGATCCTTACATGGGTTGAAGCTCTTCTTATTTTCGTTAATGACAAATGTTATCTGCGTTTCTTGTTGTTTCAACATTAAGCCGACCTGTCTGTTAAAGACTGAAAACATTTAATTTTATATTTCGTTACCACTCGTGTGAGTGGCTAACTGACTGACTGGTGAGCACTGAAATCGAAACTCCCATTCTCAAGTAATATGCATATTAATATGTGACAGTGTGTTTATCTACCACCTAATGAATACTTAAACGCACTGTAGGAAAATAAATAATTGTATTGATAAATAATACTACACCCATTGTACTTTAAAATAAGATTAAGAACAAAGATATTGAGGCAACAAATAAGGGTCATGCTAAATGTTAAAAGCTAAGTACATTGCTTATTCATTTAAGCGTTTTTGGTGTGGAAAATGGTTTAATTTCTCACTAGTCTCTCATTTTCGTTGAAACGAGCATCCGATATTTGAGAATACGAAATATGATGTCATCAGTCATCTTATATGTATAAATTGAGTGAAATGTGCTTAGGGTAGAGAAGTATTGGGAACCAAGGAGCACTGGGCATCTGTCTCATCTCAATTTCTGACTTTCCAACAACACTCACCTATGATTTCTGGTTACAGGTTGAGCATGTTATTATTCAACTATGAGATTTATGGCTACAGCTGTGCAGTGTTCTCAAACTCAAGTCAGTGAACCCCTCCGGTCATTGAGTTCTGACCCAATGGACTGATTGGTAACCTGAAGATCCTAATTATGTCTTTGGAACTCAGTTAGTTGGAACAAAATTTTTCATCTACCAGGCTAAGATCTGCACTCATCACATGAAGAGGGCTAACGATACTACCGACTTAGGCAGGCTGGCTTAGCTGGAGCAGAACTTGAACTCTTAATCTATCATCAGCTGAAACCGAGTGTTTAAGGCAGTTAGCCACACAGTCAAACACACAGTGACTGAGTGATCAACAAGCTCTCCTTGTAAGCTGAAAGTCCTGGGTTCGATTCCTGGTGGGTTAGTGGGTGCGTACTGCTGTAAAGTCTTAAGTAAAGATGAAACAGTTGTTCAGTGCTCTGCATTTCCTAATTGATGGTCTAACTCACTTAGAGATGCGTAATAAAATCGACTTTAGAATGAATCCAGTCCTTACACAAACCAATAATTTTTTTATTATCTTGATAACTTTATTACTGCAGATGCTATTTACCAGTATACCATACAGAATAATCTACTAAGGATAAATGTGGTAATCCACAACGGTACTCTCATTTTTTAACCTAGTATTGTATGACGTAGTTCGTTTTTTAAGTATGCTACTGATGTTAGCTTCTATTGAAAACAGTATGACCATAATAAATTCCGTATAAATTCCTTATCTTCTAGGGTCACGCAGGATGTATTGACAAAGTTGAAGATGAATGTGACTTCGGTCCATTACGTGATATCATGTTACCAGCATTCTGTGTTAGTCTTCCACGAATAAATATTCCCATTGAACATGTTATTGGTGTTACTAAACGTCCACAAGGTAAGTCTATTAATTTTACTCGCATACATTGACAACACACTGAACTGTCAGAGCTAATTCTAGGAATTATTATAATATTCATTATTCTGGGGTTAAGTATTTACTAATGTATGCAGGGCAGAAACACTCATTAAAAAGTATAGCCCGCAAAATCATGAATATTTTGTACTCAGTCGATAGCCACATTTCCCGAAACCATTTATTCTGAACCAGGTTTGGATGTCTACAAAAGGAAACACCGTACTTCATGCATACTTCATAAACACATAATGTGTTATAAAAACAAAATGCATGCTTGAGGACTCTGTAGATCAATGTAAGGTAGTCGTCTGGAGGTGTCCGATGCCAGCAGTTGACACTCTTTTCCTCTCCTTCAGCTAAACAAGCTGTTTATTATTATTCTCTGTTTGCGTTGCGAGTGGAGCACAGGGCTCCGGCGATTCATATCCACTGCAGTTCTCTCCACCCCATGATTGCCCATTTCATTTCCTCTTCACACAATCTTCTCCACATCACCTTTGGACGCCCAACCCATCGCTTTGCATTTAGATATCATTCGAGGGCCTGGCGTGTGATGTCGTAAAACTGTTTAACTTTCTGAAATGCACTTATGGACTTAACTCTGTGGGTGAGGTTGATGTTCTTTGCTTCTTAAAATCAGGTGGGCTAGGAGATACATATCAACGTCATCAACAGTGGTATTTTTTTCTAAAGGCACTGTTTAATTAAGTTTCTACTCAAGAATGTGGAATGTATTCCTCAAAGACATAAAGAGGTCGTTTTTGTGGATTCCACCTACAAAATGGTACCATCGAAATCCATATTTATGAAGGGAGTTTTCTTAGAGATTATTGGAACTTTTTGTGGTAGCAGTTTTGCCTGACGGTTGCGGTTGACAAGTGTACGTAGATATCCATTTTTTAAAATAAGATGGTGTCAAGATGAAATTATAATCTACTGTATTTTATCTTCAGAATAGATCTTCCGAAATGGTGAACATAACAAACATATGAGGTCTTCTTTTTTGATCAGTGGAACATAGTTTTAGAAGTTAGTAAACTTTTCATCTCATATTGGTTTTCTCTACATTAATCTATGTGTGGAGTAATCTGGTATTCTATCAAGTAAAACAAATACAGAAATTAGCAAGTGTTGTTGATTTGCAGATATGTGATTGGTTACAGGATCGATTGCAAGCTGACATCAATTACAGAACTACCGGAAGACCTGAGAGTTACTGGGCAACCGTTTCGTCCCAGTTACAGGCTCTTCAACAGTACCACCCACCGGGGTTTGAACCCCAGGACCTTCCGGCTACGACACGAGGTCGTAGACCATTCAGGCACTGGGACGCAACCAAATGGCCTATGAATTCCAACTTCTGCCAATTCGTCATATATATTTAGCGCAACCACCAGCAAAGTTAAGTTGAATTTCCGTTTTAGAATAATTTTTTATAGAAGGATGAGCTGTCTAATAAGTGTTGAGGAGATTTTCTAGGTCAAATACATCATCACGAATGGTAAAACTATGATCTTCATGTCTTTTGTAAAGATAAAGTTGATTGACTAGTGGGTTGAGGGTATTATTTTCAAAACTGGTCAATAAACAGTCTTCTAGAAGTAAGTCAAATGGAGGGGATTCTGCATTCACACCATGTTTTCTTACTCATAGCTTTTCTATTAACCTTAATTGAGGAGTAGTTCCTTCAGGTAGTTTGTGTTAAGAGAAATTTTTAGGTTGTTAGGTATAATGTAATTACACATGGGACACATCGTTTCAATTATTTGTGCAGTAGGAAATAACTCCTAGGGAGAAATAGCATTTGAACATGTTGGCACTTTCCTTACTAATCTGGTAAGAACTAAAGCATCTTCAATACTTATTTTTTGTCATGTATGTAATCACCGGTTGGGACACGTGTCAGTCATTTAGGCATCTGATGGTATTGAGAGTTGGCGGCATCTACAATAAGTTGAGGAGGAATATTCTCCTTAAGCACTTCAGGTAGTTCGTATTTATACCTTGAAATGATTGAGAGAAATGGCCTTACCTTCTTCAAAAAATCTATATTACTTCAAGTGATTTATTTTTCTTGTTATTTTGGTTTCATCTTGTAGTAATTTGTTGGGTTTGACAGTTTACCGGTATATTTGAGTTTTTTCATTATTGTGATTCCTATACCTTTATCTGGACAAATTGAGATTGTCTCTATCCTTTTGGAGTTATCTGAGAGTTGTTTTTTATGTCTTTACGATAGGAGATGATGACGACTAGGTCATGTTTTCATGTAACTGTCACAGCTGTCTACGTCTATAAGATTGAAACTGTTCAAGATATTTTTTTAAAGCACAGTGACGAATCAAGTGCCTGGGAGGTTAATTTCTTAAACTGAACGTTCAACATCACTGGTTTTCAACACAAATCACTATATGAAAAAAATTATTACACCACTTTTTATATCACCTGATTTTTGAAAAATTTCTTTATTTTCTCTCTAGAATTTTACAGTAAACTTTGTTCTAGCACACTTTTTTGTTGTTTCTTTTCTCTAGGTCGAGCTATTTCAACGGATTGGTCCAGTAGTGGCGAAAGCAAAGAGGATAGTTGGCAGGATACACGATCGCCTAAAGAAGTTATAGATCATGCTAGTAGTGACGGTAAGAAGAAATTGTTGTATGCGAATTTTTCTTATTAACTTTCATAAAGGCATCTATCAGGTATTACATTTTCTTATGACCTTCTATAGGTTATTTTATTTACACAGGCGCAAACAAGACTTGTCAGTGTAACTTGGTGGATGGCGATTACCGGTTGCGCATTTCGTCCTAATTATTGGGAGTAGTCATCTGAGTGTGTTTGCTGCTGAGACTCGATTGCTAGTACCGGCTGTTCCAAAAACCAAAGCGTTGTCCACTACGAAACTTGGGCCACAAGAGCCACCTCTTGTGCGACGGGTATCAGTTATTATTTATTTACGTCGGTTTTGTTTTTCCCGTTGATTGATTTATATTCATCACTGACTGGAGATTGCAAGTACATCCGTCCTGTTGACGAGTCCCAGGTAGGAAGAAATACATATTCTGGATTTCACTGCAATTCACCATACACCGGATAAAATCGTGTTAATCTTCAAGGGAAAACCCAGCGGAGCCTGTAAAGCGAAGATAGGAGTAAGAAAAGACTGCCTACTATCACTGATTATATTTTTAATTGTGGTGGACTGGATTATGCCGAATACTGTACATGGAGAGAAGATAGGAATACATTGAACCTATAAGAAGACTCGAAGACCTGGACGTCGCGGACGATTTATGTCTAATGTTAAAAAAGCTCTAAGACTTATACGCGAAACCAATAAGTTGACAGAAGAGCCAGGCAATGAAGACAGGACTTAAAGTGAATTTTGAGAAGATTGAAGTAATGAAGATAACCAACCAACAACAGCCGGCACCAATCCCTATCGACCGAAGAAATTTGAAATGGATCACTTCCTTCACTTACTTAGACGCCATCGTTTTAACTACAGGTGAGGTCGCATGGTTGAGGATTTCAAAACCAGAATTGGAAAGGGCAAGACGAACCCTCATCATTCTGAAATCAGTTTGAAAATGTGAACTCAGCATAAACAGCAAAATTCAGATTTTCATCACCTGTGTTAAATCGGTCAGTTCTATATGGATCAGAAACCTGCACTGCGTGTCGCGAAAAGCATTTCGAACAGGCTGCATACTTCGCTGGCTCCACATTGTGCGTCGGTGGCACGGTGGTGAGTACTCTCGCCGACCATGCATATGGTCCGAGGTTCCATTCCCTGTCGACGCACACCTGATATCTATGGTCGGCCTGCGAAATTTGGGCTACCGATATTCATGCTGAAAATTCTATACTTGTACCAAAAATACAGTGTGGAATCAAGCTGTAATAAAAAAAATTTTAAAAAAATCAGCTGACCATAAGGAATTCGCAAGAAGGAGCTCTGGGAATAAACCAACCGAGAAGAGACACGCTGAGGAGACAATGAAGTGACATCGCGCACCAGGTCATTGCTTGAGTGGATGGTGGATGGGAAATGACAAGCTAGGCATGTGTCCGAGGGTGACATGGAGGAGATCGTATGAGAAGGAGACTAGAGAATATGAGCGATCTTGAGGTTAGCTAAGGAGGACCACAAAAAATAAGATAAAGTGGGGATGTGCTATTGAAGCCCTATGTCCCACTCGGAACCCAAGGGAGTAATAATAACAGATCTCAGATACAACGTCGAAGCGTCCGTACTAAGAGCTGACACATGTCACCAGAAACGGAACATTCTGACCCAGTCAGTCAACGCGAAAAACAAAGCTGATTTAAACCTTGTGGATATTCAAATTTTAGTATTTATGCTTATGTCATTTAAACATTTAGAATTTTAGTTAGTTTGTGGTCCCTGTTTCTTGAGGGTTAATAGAAATCACGAAAGTGAGTAAAAAGCATTTTCTTTTCTAGGTAGGTAACCAAATCGTGTTGGAAAATGTTAGCCTATACAAGATTTTCATACTAATCACCTATCAATGTTTTTATTTCTCCTGATTGTTTTCATTAGAATATGTATGCGTATTCGATGGTATTGGAGCTTTGAAAAGGCGTTCGTGTCGAAGTTTTAGCTTTTCAAAATCAATGTCTACTTATTCAGCTGTGAAAAGATTTCTAAAAACATTTCATTTGGCTGGAACACCTGATTATTACAATGTATATGAAGTTAACGAATATGGTATGTTGTGGCCTATTTCAACAAAATAGACTTGTCAAGCTTACATTTGTTTATTATACTTTTATTTAATGTGACATTTATTGAGTACTACGTATATATTTATGCATATATATATATATATATATGTTTTGTGCAGAATTAATGTTTTTTAATTTCTGAGCAGATTTTTAACTTCGTTAAACTGTTTTGCTCACTCATTATTATGTTATTATTCCTTTGGGTTCTGAGGGGAACATACTGCACATCTCCATTTCACTGGGTTCTTTGCAGTTTTTTGTGTCTGGCTACAAGATTGCCCGTAAGCTCTCACCCCCCTAACCATACGATCTCCTCCATGTAACTCCTGACCCTACAGCAAACTTATTGTTTCTCATTCGGGTTCCATTCGAGGACTGACTATTAGTACGTGATGTCAATCGACAGGCTTCTCAGTGTGGATGTCCAATCTATTCCCATTTTCCTATACATATATGTTAGTGTTTGCTTTGTTGCAGCTGCTCCTTGCTGCTGATATTTTCTTGCCAGCCATCTGATCTTCAGCATACAGTGAAGGCATTTGTCGATAAAAATGTGTATTAGCCTGTTGGAAATGCTCTTCGTGAAGCATAGTCTCTAAACTTCATAGAATCAATGACTTGACATTAGTGCCGAAGATTCTGATCTTGTTCCTTATGCTAAGTGCAGAAGGTTTCCACACGGATTTTAGTTTAATGAATGCCTGTCTTACTTTTCCGATCCTGCTTTGATATCCTCCTGCATGCTCCTTGCAATTGAAACGATGCTGTCTAGATCACTTAAGTGAAACAGGTGACTTCCTTTAGAATTTTCCCATTGACGATGATTGATGCTTGTTGCTGTTGTTGGCTAAGTACATTCCTCGTCTGTATCTCCTCTATGTTCACTTGAAGTCTGGTCTTCGCTGCTTTTTCTGCAAACTTGTTGAAGACCAGGGAGTACTGGATAGCTGTCTCATCCTAGTTTGGGAATCATTGTCAGCACGCACCCTGAATTTGTGCGCCGGTGGCACAGTGGTTAGGACTCTCGCCGACCATGCACATGGTCCGTGGTTCGAGCCCACGCCGACGCACGCCTGATATCTATGGTCGGCCTGCGAAATTTGGGCTACCGATGTCCACGCTGAAAATTTCACACTTGTACCAAAAATATGGTGTGAAATCAAGCTGTAATCAAAAAAAAATTTGGGGCTGTTGATCTTCGAGTTTATTTGGCATCGTCCGCGACATCCAGATGTCTAGTGTTTTGCATCGGCACAACGTATGCTCGTCTTCTTGCTGTTCACGGTTTGTTACATGACCCAATTGGTCGCACTCAGGAATACCATTGGCGATAGTAGTCAGCCTTGTTTTACTTCTGTCTACCTGGTTACCCAAACTTTAGTAGGTAGAGCGGAGTTCAACCTTCTGACGTAGTGATCGATGTCAAGCTCCTTAACCTAATGATTTAAAACTATAGATTCGTTTCAGATGAGTATATAAGTGTTAATTCACAACAATCAGTCATTTTTGTTTAGCAATTGTAAGTCATTTGTAATAAATCCGCTAAATACCAATGGTTGTCGCATAATTTATAAGTGTTTTTATAGGTTTTCTGTTTCACTCAGCATATATAGTTGCAAATAAAATAGTTTAGTTAACAACAGATTGAATACGAGTAAGAAGTTATGTTTACTGATGACGTTTCAAGTACAATTTATTGCCAATCATAGTCATATCAAGCTACTCACACAACTTTCTAACTTCGTTTATATAATTCCATCATTTTTCATCGCTTGATTCGATTGGTAGTAGTATTCTCCTTATTTCCGGTATGAGTGATGAGTGATTCCTATTGCATGTGTTGAGTGTAGACTCGATGAAAAATCATGGAATTGTATAAATGAAGTTAGAAAGTTGTGTGAGTACCATGGTATAATTATGAGCAATAAATTGTGCTCGAAACGTGGTCATTAGTAAATATTACTGTATAACACCACTGTGAGACTTTATCAAAACAACTTTTACCCATAATGGAATTACGCTCTACCACAGTGCTCAAGTTTTATTCTTATATCAATTATACGAGTAAGAAGCTCTATCAAGAGCATTCTAAATGAGTGTTTGTTGCCTCAAATTATATTGTAGATAGTGGAGAAGAAAATTCCATCATTTTCACCATTGATTTTAATTCTGAGCCATGGTTGATAGCGTCATCACCCATACTGTTCCTGAAGAATCTCGATTCAGCAATGCATGCCAGTATAGCAAAACTATCATTGATCTTGCGTCTCCATGTTATGGGTTGATCACTCTTCTGCTTTTTCTTTGGTGATTTCAAGGACTAGCAAACAGTAAATAGTGTGAAAGCCACTGGGATTACATTTATGGTACATGTCCCAGACACCGAAACCGATTTCTCCGGATTCTATTACAAGCTGATAGGCGATAGTTACTCTGTTCAAACCGGCGTCTCAGAGTTGCACACAGTGGGGTGTTGCTCTAAGCAGCACAAACGGCTTTAATCACCATCTTTATGATTTGCTATAGGATGGATTGCAAATAATCTGTGTAACATATAACATAAGATTTTTATTTTGATAAATCGCACTGTGCGATTTATCAAAATAAAAATCTTATCTATAATGGAATTATACTCTACCACAGTGCCCAAGTTTTATAATTATATTAACATATAACATGTATACTCAAGAAGATAACATTACCTGTCAGTCGTTGTAACTGATGATTTTATATAGAACCCTCTCTTACCCTACCTATCTTACCTACTGAAATTTTCAGTTTATCTCGGTATTTGTCTTCCTTTTGTTCTCTCTATTTTCAGATGGGACTGAAAACAAGCTGAACTATCATGTTAACTTACGGAGTCAGTTAAGATTTGATTTGAAGCAACCGTCAATACTTATACGATCTAAAGAACCAGAAGAATCGACACTAACGATTAAGGTGTATGCCGGTGATCTTCGGTATGTTTAAAAATTCCAGTTTTCAGATTCTGTGTGCTTTTTAATATACATCACTTAGTGTTTAAGTAGAATATGTGTTTTTTATATTAAAATAAATTTTCCTGAAAACCAGGGATTACTGAACAGCTGTTTCGTTCTAGTTCTAGACTCAGGTTATGAGATTAACCTGTTGATGATTAAGCCGGTAGGTCGTAATTCAATGATCCATTGTTTTTGACTTCTACCAATTCGTGATACATTTTGCCACTGTCGGGCAGTGTCATCAGCGAGTGTTGACAGTAATAATGCTGGGTTTTGGGTGCGACACTGAAATGCAGTAGACAACTCTACCGAAGACTGAATACGATTATTCTCCCTCAAATAATTTCTGCTATCTTGAGCCCATGGAATAAATAAGTCAGTAGATAGTTCTGACCGGAGAGAACAATCTCGTGGTTAGGCGAGATTACATACATTACTAAATAACTGATTTGATTGGCTGCACACTGTTGGGTATCTGATTGTCCAATCATATTTTAGCATCAACTTTTGCTTCAGTAGCCAATAGCCTAAGTCAGTTTGTAGCCTGGAAAATATAGTTATTTTAAGATGAGACAAAATTAGAGTTGTATAATATTTATTTAGCAATAACAGCTTGTTTGTAGCGTTGTACCAAATTCTCTAGGAAGTATGTGTCACGCCTGGTATGATATCATTTGCTGATAGGTGAACGATGCACAATGGACATGTGGATCACAGACTTGTGCATTTGACTTTCAACTAGTCGTTCCCCAGGTTCAAGTCCCTCTTCACTTATTTCAGGTCGCTTAATTGGGTATCATAATCAGCCTTCAAACACACGCAGTATTTGTGGTTCATATCCTGATGCATGCGTCATCTATCCCGCGAAACTTATCCCCATTTCTATTCAACTTCATCATAGATGTGTTAATGGACTTAACCCTAACTCACTTCAGCGACTCAGGGATTGACTTGCTACCAGGGAATAATCTCGTTGACTTAAAATATGCAGGCGATATATTCCTTCTAGACGAGGACGCTGACAAAATACTTAGTCTTCTGAACACCTTGAGGTGCAATCTAAGAATGTTTGGCATGTGATTAGCTCCCGCCAAATGCAAGATGATGTTACAGGACTGGACTACACCGACTCCTAGTTTAGAAATAGGGAGTGAAGTGGTAGAGCACGTCGGCCGCTTCACTTATTTGGGAAGTACCATCAACCAGTGCCAACGGGTTGATCTCTGACGAAATTTCAGCACGAATATATGGGGATCGTTTCGCATATGCCAGTTCATGCCGTCTCTGGCTTAGTAGACGTGATATCCGACTATCGACCAAAGGGCAGGTGTACTGCTCATCAGTCCACTCCTTCCTCCATTATGGGTGTGAGACCTGGCCATTGGGAGTGGAAGACATGAAAAGATTAGCTGTCTTTGATCATAGGTGCCTGCGTTCTATCTCCCGTGTGAATAATAAGTGGTATAATAAGGCGAGCAATATTGAGGTTAGGCGTCGAGTTCTAGGTAAACAGGGGAAATCAATCGACGAAGTTGTGAAGTTACAAAGACTGAGATGGTTAGGACATGTGTTACGCATGCATGCCTAGTCATCGCCTCCCTCGACGGGCAATGCCAGCTGACATAGGATCAGGTTGGAAAAGTTACCCAGTGATGGTCAAACCAAAACATAGCACCAGTCAATGAAATACACAACAGTTAGTCTAAACCACGTAGGAAGGTGTAGACTTCCGGGTTGGGGTCCTCGGGACGGTAAAAACCAATGGTTGTAAACAATTGGTGACATGGCTCAAAATCGTTCTCAATGGCTGGTGCAGATGCATCCACTCCTTGTGATTTATGATTTCCAATAAAACTGTTTTGTTCTTAGTGATTACTGTTCCCTTGTCTCACACCTCTGTTTACTGTCTCTAATATGCATTTCTTCTACTTCCTTCTGTTGCTTTGTGTGCTACATGGAGAGAGTGCGGCGACTTGAACTGCCGCTCATCAGTGCAGAGTTCTATGTCGAAAACAGACAGATAGACAGATTCCGCGAAACTGAAATCTAACTTAAGAAACTCTAACTAGAGAAAAAATGCACCATAGAGAATTCCAGTGCCTGGGTATGAAGATTCCTAATGTCACAGTTTTAAAAACACGCAAAGAATGTAAATCGAAATAGGGTAGAAAATACACTAGAAACTTGGAAGATATCATGTGAAATAATCAATAAAACAAGGAATAAAAAAACACAAAGGTTGTTGGAATTTTCATATTGTAGTCGTTTCTGCTTTTGCTACTATAGTGAGCAATCTTCAGTCATTATTTTCTAAAATCTCTAAACGTGGAACTTAGTCAATGAATTATACACTTGTCTGCTAATCCACTTTGTATCGGATGATATCTTTTTTTTCGTAAGCTATGCATAATTTATGTGTATTTTATTATTTTTCTTTCTTTATTACGAATATAAAAACAGAGTTGGCAAACTGTATTGATTTTTCTTATTACAGTCTGTTGCTTGCTCCGCATGTACCACCATACGAAGAGGTAACTATCACTCCGGAAACTACAGCGGCAAAAGTTGTTGCAATGGCATTAAATAACTTTGGTTGTGGAGTAAGTTAAACTTTGAACTGCGACGATATATGAATCATTGTTGTTACTATTTCCTTTGGCTTCTGACTAGAATATAGGGCTTCAATAGCTACATCTTCATCTCACTCTGTTCATTTGGCTCCTCGGCTGCCCGTAAGCCTTCACGTTTCCTCCTGATATGGTCGTCGTCATGTTACCCTCGCATTCACGTCCAACTTATCTTTTCCCATTCTGGTTCTACTCAAAGTCTATGAGGTGCGTCGTCACTCTTAACAGTCTCCTTGGAATATGTGTCCTTTTCACCTCCATTTTATTCTGCATAATTGTTGGCTAGTTCTTTGACGGAATTTCTTTCCGACCGACCATCTGATCTTCAGTATAGAGCCAGTGAAGGCAGCAGCTATTAATGAAAGCCTTTTTTTTCGTAACTTTTCATCAAAACTGCACAGTTATTTAAGAATGCCTAAATAACTGTACATTTTTTCATAAGAAGTTATGAAAAGAGACCTTTTTGGTGAATTATAAATTCTCACTTCATATCACATGGTGTAACGGTGGAAAACGAGAGACTTGGTATCTTGATATAGCAAAATTATGTTCACCTTGAGTGCGTCAGTGGTATAGCGGTTAGGACGCTCGCCGACCATGGTCTGGGGTTCGATCCCCGGCCGACGCACTCCTTTACTTCTCTGAGCCAGAAATGATGCTGGTAAAGAGGAAAGGTTGGACATGAAGGTAGCAACCCCATCCCGTAAAATAAACACTGCTACAGAAACTTCAAGCCACTAGCTTGAAGCCCTATGTTCCACTGGGGGACGTAAAGGAAAAAAAATCTTCAACTCACCATTTGCACAGGTCATCCGTGTTGTGCTACTTCTCGCCTCCCTTCATATTGTGTTTCTTCATGCTCCTTTCACTTCTCCCATGTATCTCTGAAACGTTGGATAATTTGCTTTCGCTGACATCAAATCTATCTCCCTGCTACTTGATGTTTTTTATGCTGATGAGTCTCTTTTTATGCTACTGATAAATCTTATCAGTAGCACACACCACAATGGGAGTTCTAATTTTACTTCTGACTACACTTATGTATTCATTACTTTGTGTATTTTAACAATTATGCTGGCTTTTCATTATCATAGATCTAAGCGACTGAGTGACTTTAATTTCCTTACGCCTTAATTTTGGAAATAAAGGTCTGAATATTGTCTTTCAGAAGTAGTCGGATGACATAAACCTTGTATCCTTAATAACGCTCATCTTTCGGAAAGCAAATGTTGCTAAAGACCAACGGTTACAGATGAAGCTTGTTGTACTTTGCTGTGAAATCCAATTCTTCCCATTTATTAAAAAAAGATAGAAGGACGATGTTGGTTGTTGATTGGAGTATGGGAATACTTCTGTTTCTCTCCTCATGACCACACTTCACATTATGAAAGGTGATATATATATTATCACTGTTCCCTTGGGTTCCAAATGGAACATAGGGCTTCAACAACGCATCTCCGCTTTGTTCTATTTTTCCCCATCCTCTTCAGCTGGGTTCATGACTGTCCATAATCTCACCTCTTCCTCACATGATCTCCGTCATGTCACCCTAGAACGACTCACTCGTCGCTTTCCATTTGAATTCCACTCGAGTGAGGGCCTGTATTGTGCGCGATATCATTCGGCAGTCTCCTCAAAGTATGCTCGATCCATCCATTTCCATTTTCTCTTACATATTTGTTGAGTGATCGGCTCTCGTCCGTTGGTTTGTTCTCAGCCAGAGTTTCTTGTTATTAATTCTTTCTGACCTAACATTTGACCTTCAATATGGAGCCAGACAAAGAAGGTAGCTGTTGATAAAAGTCTGCAACCTGTTGGAAATGCTCTTCGTGATACGCAGTGCAAGTTTCTGACACCCTATGGAAGAACCGACTTGACATTGGTGTTGAAAATGCTATTCTTGTTCCTTATGCTGAGTATAGAAGATTTCCAAACTGGTTTCAGGTTGATGACGGCGTACCTTACCTTTCCAATTCTGAATACCCTTGACATCTTCATCCGTTCCGCCTGTAATGAAAAGTAATAAGGAATATCTGTGTCACAAACCAGTCAATGCAGTCCGGTTTTATAAATAGTTTCATGTATGGAAATATCACCTGTCAGAATATAATATTTTATGCATCAATACTTATTACTGGATATTTTAAATTTTCTTTTCTCAATACTAAATTCAACAGTCTTCGAAGTCCCAGGGTGTCTCGGGTCGCTTTCTGATGAATTGAGAATCCTCATAATAGAATAAGTGTAATTCCATATAAAAATAAAGCATAACTTTCTTTGATTGATTTAGGTTAGAGATGTAGCAAGCGTTTTAAAACTGTTACAAAAACAAAGCAGGAAGCGCTACATGTATGTGTTATGCGTGCTATCTTTTTCCATCGATCCAACCTCCTCTTATATGTTTCTGTTTTCAGGGGCTTGATTGACTTCAATTTCGGTTCCGAACTGTCATCAGTTACGGAACCATTGAAAGTCAGGGGATACCGGGCAGCTGTTGCTGCCTAGTACACAGCTATGACCCTAATGCAGATTTAACCCAGGGCTTTCAGGTTACTAGGTGAACTCTCTGTCTACGCAACCAGTGGGACAGAATTCAATGATCCGTGAATTCTAGGTTCTACCACTTCGCGATATATGCCGCCACCTGCCAACATTGGAGTGTATTGGTTCTTACACCCTCCTGGGTGGATCTCACTGTCCACAAAGAATCTTACACTAGAGGACTAGGAACTCCGTGGTTTCCATTGGTTCTCTAATTGATGTCAGCTCGTGGTCTAGTCTTAGATTCGATATTGTCAATCTACCAGAATATTATTTTTAAGACATTTTACTATTATTATTATTTTTTTCAAAATCAGCATATGAGTCCGGATGACTGTTATCTAAGCAGTGTATGCATTGATCGAACTGTCAGTGAACAATTGCTAAGCAAAGATGATAGACCAATGGCACTGTTGGATCAATTACGTGAAGAATCAGCTAGAATATCACAATTTACACGATTTGAACTACGTTTTGTTGAAGATCCACCTATTGGACCAAGTGTATCATTATTTGTTGGTAATCTAAAAGAAAATCTATCTCAACGTCTATATGAGCGCTTATTATTAGAGAAATTAGGTGAAAAATGTCGATGGGATTCAATTGATGTTATTTATTATGAAAGTGGTTGTCTTGTCTTAAATTATCATTCAAGTGAAAAAGCTGAACAAGCCTATGAATTGCTAAGTGTGAGTTATTATTATAACTGTTATCATTATTGTAATGATAATTATTTGATCGTGTAAAGGGGATAAACTATTGATCTTTATTTACTTTGCCGTTTTCTTTTTTTGTATTATTTCACAACTCTGGTAGTAATTGCAGCAGATACAGCCAAACCTTTCGTAGTAATTTTTTTCTTAAAAATGGTTGTTTTTGTTTACCAACTGAATATTGTACAATCTGCAGTGTGTTCAAAAAAATTAATGTTTACTTGTACTACAATTCGGGGATTTTGTTCTAAAAGAAAACGTTTTACTTACTGTTTGTGAAGTTCTAGAGGTTAAGAGTGGAGAAGAGCCTTGAACTTGAATGTAGCTTTAGTTGAAGGAGCCAAAAGTAAATTATGCTACAAACTATGCTGGTAGATAATTGCTGCTTAATTTCCTGTAATCCTGTTCATCTGAGTTACCACTGACTGACTGTGCATCGGTGGCACAGCGGTTAGGACTCTCGCTGACCATGCACATGGTCCGGGTTCGATCGTCAGCCGACGCACACTTGATATCAATGATTGGCCCCTGCAAAATTTGGGCTACCGATATTACATGCTGAAAATTCCATACTTGTACCGAAAATACAGTGTGGAATCAAGCTATTATTATATTATTTCCTTCAATTCCTAGAGGAACATATGGCTTCAGCTGCGCATCTCCATTGCGTTCGGTTCTCTGCTAGAGTTTTCATCTGGCTCCAAGTCTGCCCACATGCTTCCATCTCCTCTTCACATGACCTCGTCCAAGTCACCCTCGGATGATCAACTCGCCGCTTCCCTTTCGGGTTCCACTCGAGCAATGGCTTGTCTAGTGATATCACTTGATGGTTTCCTCAGAGTATAGCCAGCCAATCCATCTCCATTTATTCCTGCCTATTAGTTGCACAATTGGTTACTGCTGGGTTGGTTAGCTCATTGCCTGAGATCCCTCCGTGTTGCTGATCTTTTCTGGCCATCTGATCTTGAGTGAAGTATTGACCGAAGACAGCTGTTAATGGAGGTCTGTAGTTTGCTTGAGGTGTTCTTTATGACTCGCCAAGTCTCTGATCCCTATAGTCACACTGACTGGATTCAGATTGGAGTTAAAAATCCGGATCTTATTTTTGATGCTGAGTGCTGTTGACCTCCACACAGACTTGAGAGTAATGAAAACTTGTCTTGCTTTTCCGATTCTTGCTTTGATACACTCGTCAGTTCCGCCTGTATTTAAAACGATAATTCCCAGATAGGTAGATAAAGGAGGTTGTTTCTTTCAGGTTCCTCCCATTTATGCTGACTGCTGTCTAGCTATAATAAAAAAATAAAGCTTTGCACAAAAGTGCACTATTTCAAGTTGCCTCACTTATAACTGGTGGCCTGCTTAAAATTTGGGCTACCAAAACCTTCCATATATATATATATATATATATATATATATATACATATATATATATATATACATATATATATATATATATATGTATATATAGCGTATAATGTTACACATTCGCTTTGTTTTAATCGATTAAAATACAACCTCTAATAGTATTATTTTACTCCTGCGAGTATTTAAACTATTTACAACCTTCTGATTCACAAGTTTGTATGAAACTTGAGAAGACGCCTGATCGTGGGTGGTCGTAGTGGTGGTGATGGGGGTGGCAACGTATCCCAATGCACATCAGATAACTGTTTTGGACTTATGTTCCCTGAATCTCGAAATTTACTCCTGAACTCTTTATAATTTGCTTTTCAACCAAATATTGTGGATTTCTCGATGTAGACAAAGAAACAGAAATATCATAATCGATTGATTGGTTTGCGCTTTAGGTTGCGCAGAAGTGTTTACTGTGGGTTGTACTTTGCAGAAGGTGTCAGAATGGTCAGCAGTTAGTTCTGTTACTGAAAAATTATGATACCTCCATTACAATTAAAAAGCTTACATAGAGCAAATACTTTACAGTTAATTCTAAAAATGTCTATATATGCAGTAACAAATATGACTTTTTTTGTTCCTTTACGTCTTCAGTGAAACATAGGGCTTCAAGCTAGAGCACTGAAGTTTCGGTAGCAGTGGTGTTTATTTTTACGGGATGTGATGTTACTAGCCTCATGACCAAACTCCCCTCCTTACTAGTCTTATTACTGGCTTAGCGAAGTAAAGGAGTGCGCCCGCCGGGGATTGAACCCGGACCACCTGCGTGGTTAGCGAGCATTCTACAGTTGTGCTACTGACGCAGAAATATGACTTACAAGTTTTTAATTTCTTCTATCGACGTGTTGTGTTTCAATACCGTGCTTACTCCAAACACACTCTTGAAGTCACTCGCCATCAGACACCTATTTAGACTTATCAGGGAAACAGGTGGCGAATAGCAAACGATAAGCGACACAATCTCTGAGCGAAATGGTGCTCTAATTAGCTCTGAGGATAGACGACTGGAACTTTGGAAGGAGCATTTTGATGAGCAATGCAACTGGCCCACAGCCACGTTCAACTTGTGCAGCATATGCAAATCCACCTGAATCGGTCCCCCTCTGTAATTGAAGTCACAAAGGCTGTTTCTGGTGTGAAACAAGGCAAAACAACAGAACCTGGTGGAATTATTCCAGAGGTGTTTAAGGACGATGGTGACATACTTCTCTCTAGGCTGATCGCTGACGAAATCTCAGCATGGATGCAAAAGGCTCGTATGGCATATGGCAACCTGCATCATTTCTGGCGTAGGTGTGAAATCCGACTGTCAATCAAAGGACGTGTGTACTAAACAGTGGCAGTTCGCACTGTCCTCCTTTATGGCTGTGGCATACGGTCATTCAAAGTGGAAGACATGGAAAGACTAACTGTCTCCGATCATGGGTGTTTGAGTTCTTTCCCCCTTGTTAGCTGGTAAAATAGGGTGAGTAATATTGAGGTTAGACTTCGAGTGTTAGGCAAAGAGGGAAGATCAATCAATGATGTTATGAAGGTGAATCAATTGAGATGGTTAGGATATGTGTTGCGCATGCCTAGCTATCACTTTCCTCAACGTGCAATATCAGCTGACATAGGATCGATCAGGTGTAGAAGAGCTAGTGAAGGTCAAACCAAAATATGGTATCAGTTAGTTAAATCAATGACAGTTTCAGCCACATAGGGAGATGCAGACTTCCTGACTGGTTTGGGTCCTCAGGATGGTAAAAACCAGTGGAGGCTAGAAACAATTGGTGATATGGCTAAAAATCGTTCTCTATGGCACAGATGCATTCACTCTTTGTGATTTATCATATCCAATAAAACTCAACTGCCTTTCAATGTAACTATTCTTTCTCTATCACATTTCTGCTCATTATCGTTCTTTCGAATCTCTCTTTTTCTCTTTTGTCGTCTTCTGTGTGGAAAATGGAGAATAGCAACTGGAAGTGCAGCGCTTCTGTGCAAAGTTCTTTGCTGAAACCAGTTAGTCACTCGCCTGGGTGACCAACCAACTGGATGTTAATTTTATTATATTTTAGACTTCAAAATTCTAAGAGAGTATAGGTATCTGGATGCATAAAATAAATAAATAAAATCATTGTGTATACAGTGTAAAACCAACGTGTTCATCTTAGTAGTTGGTAGAACTGTCCTATATGATTGCATCTCATTACTAATATTTTCACATCGTGGGCTATGATGTACATATGCGTACTATAGAAGATGTCGATTGTTTTGTAGAATCTTCTTCTCTATTTTTTTTTATTATAGAATAGTTCCTTATTCTAGTTAGAACTCATTTAGATGGTAATCTGCTGTGAGCCACACTTATCCTGTGAAATCTGAGTATACTATTTGGCTGCCTAGTCTGAAGTAGATGGAGTGATGGTACTCATAAAACGGAAAGTTGTGTGCTTGATCCACAGACACCTGAATCACTAAGTATATATATATATATATATATATATATATATATATATAGAGAGAGAGAGAGAGAGAGAGATTAAATATTGTATGCTTAGTGAAGCCATTTTGATGTGGTTGTGTTATCTGAGCTGGATAGTTAATTTGTGAAGCTTTCATTTTCCCACTAGGCAACATCTTCAGCTCATACTTCAATTTGAAGTGAGCTTTTAGATTTCTCCACGAGTTTATTAGTCATCTCTCCTGGAAACCTTGAACATGATTGGTTGTTTTTGTGTGTTTTCATACTCTCTAGGCCACCTGAGCTACTACTACAAATCTTCGCCATCATAGTGAAGTCATTTTACATTCCTCTAACATTTTGGCATTATTATTATTTTTGATTCCCCTATTAATAGGTTTATCTATCTTTTTTGTTTAAAATTTATTTTTATTTATTCGTATATTAGGATTCTGTATTCATGGATAAACCATTAATCGCATTACTCCTACCAAATATACATCCACAAAATTTACCTAAAGGTATTCAACCATTATTGGTATTTGTTAATCTCAAGTCTGGTGGATGTCAGGGGATGGATTTAATTGTGGCTTTTCGTCGTCTACTTAATCCATTTCAAGTAAGTACAATCACTGTTGTTGCTTTTTTCATTGAATGGAAAGATTTCGCTACATATTTTTCTCGCTATATTCATCATGATACTGACATACCCCCAGTAGTAGTGTGACGACAGAAGACAAGAGCCAGGCAACAAGTCATTTATTGAGAAAATCAAGAGGTATTTATAGATTTTTATGTACATTATTATTAGGGCTATTGTTAGTAGATAGGTAACGTCTTCTGATTGGTTGTTTTCCTGCTGAAGGTTATTCTGTCATCCCTTTATTGCCATTTCTTAGACAGTTCGCTGATGCATCTGCGAATCGTATCCGCCCACGCTAAGTCTTCTGTGATTGGTTGTTGAGTTAGTCTGTATTTTTGTTTTTTTTACTCATGACCAAGATTTGGGACGTGAAAATCGACGTAAATTGCTGCCTACCAATTTTGGCTAGCAGACAGCTCCCATCACAGTAGTAATAGTAGTATTTAGCCAGGGAATTATTTATTGGCACCTCACTGTGCAAATACAATAGGCGAAATACGTGTACGGTATATTGGAATCCCAATTTGCATTTATCTTCAATATTGTTCTAATTTTGTCTTCCTCTCATAAATCTCATGTTGTTTCACAAGCTTGGTTCATTTCTTCTCTTCGCCATTCAGCATTCTTGCATACGATATACACATTTATATCTGAATCTACAGACTATTAATAAGTCTTGTCAGCAGCACATACCACAGTAGTTGTGGTATGTCGTCAGAATATAATGGTATTACGTAGCAGAATTCCTTATCGAGGAAATGGTTTACAGTGATGGGCGAAATGCGGAAGCCTTCTGTTGAAATCTTCACGCATAGAAGTTCTTCCTATTCCGTTTTCTTTTGTCTTCCTTTCATACTGTCTATATGTTGTTTTATACAAGGATCTTTTATTTCTCCTTTTCACGACTTATTCCATCGCTGTGCTATTCTTCCATTTTTGTAGACGACATCGCATACACACGCAAAATTCTACCTATGTATTCTTGTCAGTAGCAGTGTGAAGTCTAAGTAGTATGATTACAGGCTTAATTCTTATGTTAGAGCTGCAGGGAATAAATTCAACTGGTTGACTGGTATAATAATATTGAAATGTAGATTCATTTTTATGGGTAGCTGGTCCGATGGGGGTAGAGTGCCCACCAGCTATACCCGTGGTCCGGGATTCGATTCCCGACTGACGCACTCTTTGACCGCGCCTGTCCGCCAATAAGTTCGGTTAAGGTATAATGCTGAACGTGAGGCCATCAAACCTCACTCATAAAACGACACCACTGCTACTGAAGCTTGAAAGCTAAAGCTCAACGCTCAATGTCCCACTCGAGACGGGAAGGAATGAAAAATAGATATAAGTCTGAAACTTTTATTTCCTTATACGAATTTACGACAAGCAACAAATTTTAATAAAACAGGATTTAGTGAATTTATCAAATTTCGGTAGTGCTTTTCAGCCGAATATCCTACATACAGTGACATATATTCATAGGAGAAATATAAGACTGATAGCCAAATAAACTACAGTGAATCAATCATGCAAAACGACAGGTAGGCATGTTTTACAGGTCAAGTTCAGATAGATAAGGGGAGTAAGGGTTATGGGAAGCAGTTATCAGAAGAAAGAACTCAACAAAGTTAGGAATTCGAAACTGAATAATTAATAATAATAACAATAACTAATAATGAAGTGAGTTAAGATAATGGTACTGATAAAGGACGATTTAAACTGAGACTAAAATAATAATCATAAAAAGTAATAAAATACCACTATTAATAATTATTATTGAATGATTGTAACCTTTCTTCCTTTTGAGTTGAACCTGACTGTCATTATCCTAGAGGAGATTGGTTCCCACTGCATGAGAGCTTTGGCTGCTGTTGGTGACATCATGATAGCCACTCTCTCGGTGTGCTCATGGTTGTCCTCTGGGTGGCCGGAATAGATTATTACCTCTCCAGTTGATAATTGGAACCTTCCACATCCGTTCCATCTGCTCTCGCAGATTCCCAACACTTCTATTCTATATCTTCTCGTTTCTGCGGCCACCTGGGCAGCCTTTCCAGTTTCGTACATTGTATGAACATGCCAGGTACCCATCCTTACTTTTGCTTTCATCTAAAGAAGGCACATCGGCTGACTGACTGGCTTCCCGAAGGCTTTAGCCAGCCTGCGTCATTTCACTTCCCCGATTCCAGCGAAAAGTAAGGCTATTGCTTATGTTTTTAGAATTTTTAATATATTTATTCGTTGAAGTTTCTGTAGCGATTTGGTTGCTTTACAGGGGTGGAGTTGCTAGCACCACGCTCCAACCCTCCCTCTTTACCTGGACTTGGGACCGGTTAGAAAACTAGTAAGCTAGTATCTGGCGAGGTTCAATCTGTAGATACCGATCATAAACTTGGTGCTAATAAAGTATTTTAGACAGTATCTATCGAATTCCCAATTATCATCCTAACTTTTAGTTTACTAGTTCATATACTCTATGCAGTAAAACTCATCAGAATCCACCTAAAGCAGCCGGACTTGTATATCTTCGGACGAAATTCTTACAGCCGATCAGCTCACCCTGATCATCTTAACAAGAATATAAGAGCTGAAAATTTCCCTCTCTCCCCTTGTGTACTGACATTTAAGAGGCCATTATTATTAATTAAACTATTTTGTTATCTTGTCAACTGCACCTTTAATTATTCACTAATTTATTCCTGCTATTTTTTTTTCAAAATTATACATCATGAAACAACCATTTGTTTTAATTTTCATCCTTTTGACATCTTGACGTGGACTAATTATGGTTCACAACCTAACTTATCACCACCAGATTGGTAATCATTCCCATGAAGAAAATTGTGATCAAAGTAAACAATAACAAGAAGAAGAAGAGGAAGAACAGAGCAGTCGTCCTGATCTAGTGGTTGGAAGACATTACGTTGTGGCGGCACTAATCCAGGCTCGAGTCGTGGTGCCGGCATACTTCCGGCTTTGCTCCCATAAACGACCTAACACGGCTTTCGCCAGCCTGCGTCATTTCACTTCCCCGATTCCAGCGAAAAATAAGGTTATTGTCCATATTTTTGTTTTAGAATTTTTAATATATTTGTGCTTTGAAGTTTCTGTAGCTATTTGGTTAAGTTTTGGAGGTGTTGCTAAGCTCCAGGCCCCAACTCTCCCTCTTTATCCGGGCTTGGGACCGGATAATAACAGTTAATAAGTAAAAGACACTACCACGGTCGATTCAAAGCGACTGCTACCTTCTTCTGTATACTTAGACCGCTTTTATAAGTTCTAAATGCACAAGCCTCTGCAACTGCAAGCATCTTTCTGTTCATCCATCTACTGTCTGTTTCTGTCTGTCTGTTTTCGACATAGAACTTTGCACAAATGTGCGGAAGTTCAAGTCGCCACATTCCGTGTAGCACGCGAAGCAAGAGAAGAAAGTACAAGAAAAGCATAATAGAAACAGTGAGCAGAGGTGTGAGACAAAGGAGTAATAAAGAAATACAAAACAGTTTCATTGAAGATCATAAGTCACAGGGAGTGGATGCATCTGCGCCACTGAGAACGATTTTGAGCCATGTCACCAATTGTTTCCAACCATAGATTTTTACCGTCCCGAGGACCCCAGCCTGGAAGTCTACACCTTTCTACGTGGCTTAGACCAACTGTTGTGGATTTCATTGACTGATGCCAAGTTTTTGTTTGACCGCCGCTAGCTTTTTTCCAGCCTGACCCTATATCCGCTAACATTGCTCGTCGAGGGAGGCGATGGCTTGGCATACGTAACACATGTCCTAACCATCTCAGTCTTTGTAGCTTCACGACTTCGTCGATTGATTTCCCCTGTTTACCTAGAACTCTACGCCTAACCTCCATGTTGCTCACCTTATTATGCCACTTTACACGGGAAATAGAACGCAGGCACCTATGATCAAAGACAGCTAGTCTTTTCATGTCTTCCACTCTCAGTGGCCAGGTCTCACAACCATAAAGGAGGACGGAGCGGACTGATGAGCAGTACACCCGCCCTTTGGTCGATAGTCGAACATCTCGTCTACGCCAGAGTCGGCGTAAACTAACAAATGCGAAACGAGCCCCTTGTATTCGTGCTGAGATTTCGTCAGAGATCAGCCCGTTGGGGCTGATGGTACTTCCCAAATAAGTGAAGCGGTCAACGTGCTCTACCACTTCACTTCCTATTTTTAAACTAGGCGTCGATGTAGTCCAGTCCTGTAACATCATCTTGCATTTGGCGGGAGCGAATCGCATGCCAAACATTCGTAGATTGCGGTCAAGGTGTTTAGAAGACTCTGCATTTCGTCAGCGTCTTCGCCTAGAAGGACTATATCGTCTGCATATTCCAAGTCAACGAGATTATTCCCGGTAGCAAGTCAATCCCTGAGTCGCTGAAGTCACCTAGGGTTAAGTCCATTAACACATCTATGATGAAGTTGAATAGAAAAGGAGATAATGGGCATCCTTGACGGACACCACTGGTCGTCATCAGTTCAGATGACAGCTCGCCGTAAGCCCTCACCTGGCTGTATGAGTACGAGTAGAGTGCCTTAATCAGTGCAATATATTTTCTTGGAATTCCCTTTACAGCCAAGCATCTCCAGAGAACTTCCCGATCGACAGAGTCGAATGCTGCCTTTAGGTCAAGAAATATAATGACTGTTGGACGCCGGTAGGAATGCCTATGTTCTAGAATCTGTCGGAGGGTGAAGATATGATCAATACACCCTCTTCCTGGTCTAAAGCCTGCCTGGCTCTCTCGTGTTTGTGCTTCCCGAGCACCACTCAGTCTACGCATGATTATTGAGCCTAAGACTTTAGATACTATATTAGTCAAGCTAATCCCTCTGTGATTATCACAGGAAGACTTGTCTCCCTTCTTGTATATGGGGATAATCAGTGACTTACACCAACCCGATGGGACTTCTTCTGATTCCCAGACGCTGCCTAGTACCTCAGTTAATCCGGAC